AGAAAATATTAGAGTGCGCAGTGGAAGCTTGATTTGTTTTAAGTTCTAAATTTTTATACTATTGTTAGTGGAGAAAGTGATGAATCTTTAATAAATAAGGACTAACGAATTTTTGGTAAAAATATTTTGTGTTCCTTTTATGTTTTTGAGGCTTTATCGTTGATTGACATTCTTTTAAGAAATGCCTATGTCATGACTTGAAGAGAAATATTTTATAACGATAATCATAAGATAACTATTCAATGATTCATTTTAAGGTTTTGTATGGAAGTAGATCTAAGTCTTAGATTTATTGGCATAAAGACAAAAAAGAAAAACTTTTATTTCTTAAATTTATGAAATAAATTACTGATAAATTTTAGTTGATTAAGCAATGGTTTAAAGTAAGCAAAGGAATTATACCAAAATTTGGAGATATGATTTATAGCTTTAAGCGATCAATTATTTATACTCGTTATGAGGATTATAAAGTAAGAAATGTTAAGTTTGTATTATGTAAGGACATTTGAAGTTTTTGGTAAAGTGAAAAAAGTTTAAAATAAAGAATATTGTCACCTTTGATGTTTAGTGTACATAATGAATCTATGTTAAGAAAATATCTTAGTAGAAGATATGTGGTTGGATATGAGTATTTCAAAATTCAAGATGATATAAGCTTTAACATATTGAAAATATCTTTTTCGCATGGTTGATTGGAAAAAACAAGCTTTTGAGGCAAAATGATTACTTTTGTCAAAGTCTAATAAGACAATCATACGACAGGAAAAATGATTGCAAAAATAAAAAAATAAAATGTGGATGTAAATCAAGTTTCGAGGACGAAACTTTTATAAGAAGGGGAGAATGTAATACCCCAGCCCAAATAATAATTGGGCTAGACTATTACTAAAGCCCATTAAGTTAATTAAGAGATTAATTAGTAAAAAAAAAAAGACTGAAGTATTATATGAAAGAAAACCTAGCCATTGTGAAACTAAAAAAAAATTATAGTTCTTCTTCTTCATCTTCTTTAGGGTTAGAAAGCATGAAAGATCGAGTTAGAGATTCTAAATCAAAAGCTGCAATCAAGTTAATCCTCTAAGGTGAGTATATGCTCTCTTTTTATTTAAAAAGAAATATCAAGTTGATTGCTATTATTTGGAGTTGAAGTTTTGAGAGCAAAATAAAAAAAAATTATGAAATCTTTCATTAATCTTCATGATCTATTTAGTTAAATTATTGGGCTTTGTTTATTTTATGTTATTAAGATTTATTGATAATTATTGGATGGAGTTTAAAGGTTGAAAGTAAAGATTTGAGTTTTTTTTAAAGATTAAAGAAGAAATTTTATTTTTAGATAAGATGTTATGATCTACAATAGTAAATTAAAATAGGATCTATATTAATGGATAAATTATTGCTATGATTATTATATATCATTAGAAAGTATGTTTAATCTACTTTCTTATGAAATAAACGAAAGTGAAATTCGAGTTTTTTATGAAGAGTTGTCTTATTTTTACTTAAGGATATACATGTTGTAATGTAGCAACATTAGGGTTGAATTTCGAAAATTATCTTAATTTTTATACAAAGAATTACAGATTAAGTCATATATGTTTAAAAAGCATATCGAGTTGACTTTCCAACAGAACAAACGAAATTGAATTTGCCTATGAATAAATACGTAATATTTATTAGAAGATATACGGGTTGTCTAATAGTAACATTTGACGTGAATTGTAAAAATTATTATAATTAATCCACAAGTTATCACGAGATGTTTCATATATTATTAGAAAGCTTATCGAGTCTAGTTTTTAACACATTAAAAAGATTTTAATTATGAGTTGGATATCTTGAGATATAGTCATTTTAGTGAAAGTAGCACAGGTTGCCAAAATTAGTTACCTGAATTATTTCTTGTTTAACTTAGTTGTTTTAGTATAAGTAATCTCAAATGGGTTGATTAATTACTGTCATGTTGAAATGATCTTGAATAGGTAATTAATTATTTTGAAGGAAAAACTAAGTGGTGGAATCGGGAAGGAGGTAAGTAGAATCTCACACACTTTACTTATTTTCGAACCTATGTATATATGTATGTTTCCAAATGAGCAAATGTTTTATTTCTTTATTTTTGATATATGAAAATAGGATCAAGCATATGATTATTTTGTGTTTTTGCTATGTAAATGATGGATCATGCTTATGAATGAAATGAGAAAATGATTTATGTTTAAAGAATGATTTTATGATAGCTACGTTTTTACATCCCTAGAAAATGAGATCATCGATACCAGAACTAGTTATACGGCCTTAGCTAACAGGTTATAGTAGTTAGCATAGACATAATCATACGGCCCTATTAACGGGTTATAGTAGTTAGCGTAAGGCCCTGGTTAGCGGGTTATAATAGTTAGCAATGATCATGATGATGAAATTGTCGATACGACCAATGTCACAGGTTATAGCAGTGATCATAGCTAATGAAAAACTAACGATAATGATGATTTATGATGATTTTAAAGATGGATCCATAATTTGTATATAAAGATGATTTATAAAGATTTTTAATGATTGATCCATGATTTGGTTTGATTACTATATTTGAATGGTAGCATATTTTGCAATGACTTATGAATTGACATGTTTTTATATCAATTTATGAATTTACGAAATGTTTGATAGAAAGATGATCTTTGAAATGTTTTGATAATATGATTTGACAAATGTTTTGAATGATCTATATGATATGTATGAAAAAAATATTTGATTTGGTAAGGTGTATAAGCCTATACTTGCTGAGTTGTGGTTTGTTCATTCTCTTTTTACTTCTTTTTTTTTACAGATGAGTAAGTGATAAGTTTTTTTAGTTTTGTGAAAGCTAGAAGATCAAATGAGAAAGATTACTTAGTCGTCAGAGATAATGTTGGCCAATGAGATTTTATGAAACGGTTTTGTATGTTTATTTGGTTTGTATTTGGATATATAAAGATGTATCATTAGTTAGATTAAATATATGAATTTTACTTTGTAAACTATATCAGTTTATTAAAAAATTTTATAATGATTAAGAAAGAAGATTTCGTATTACTTTGAGATTTACTTCAATGTAATATAACCGTATTGCGTCTTGGTCTCAGGCGTGACACTTATGGATGATTCTGGTAAGTTTTTATGCAATTGTAATTAAACTTGTTAGGTACTTGTCAATTGATGTGTATTGAGTTGGCATGTTAAGATTGTCTAACATATATGTATATAAGTTGAGGGATTAAAGTCAAGCTACGATTTATTTTGGCCTAGCAAAATGTGTGTGTTAACCAACTAACATACGACAACAAGGCATATCGGCAACTCTAGATGGTAAATGGTAGAAAGGAAAATTTCCTATTAAAGACATTTTTTAATTCAAAAGATAAAATATATATTTTTTAATATTAGAGATTGTCAGACGTGTCAACCTAATTTGATATGTACAATATTACATCGGTTCGATCATCTCATCAACTTCTCTTAAGGATCTTATTTTATAGTGATTTGTTTTTCTTTGGATGGATAATCAACGTTCAAGTCAGCTTAACATCCTAATAACAGGACTGACCATGAGCAGCCTATGCTGCTTCAAAATTCTTCAGTTTCAATTATAAATATAATGATCTAGATATTTCATACTATTTTGCTTTTAGTACTTTCTCTTTCCTTCCAACTATCATACTGATTTTTGACTTAAATATCGGCACACAAACACCGAAAAAACTCTTAACTTTTATTTTTAATAGCTCTCTTTTTTCCGCATATGGTTTTAGGGTTTTAGCTCCGTATCAACATTTTCCAGATGCCAAAAGCACATCCTGTCAATATTATCGTTTTGAAGAGGGGTTTATAAAACATTTCTATATTTATTTATAGCATAATTCTTTCTTGATAGCTTGCCAGGTTGCCCACTCTTGCACCAAAGAAACTTTCTGGAGATAAGCTTTGGTTTAAAAGACATCTATCAGACTATATCTGATGTAACATTAAACGATTTTAATTATAATGATATTGACAGAATTGAAGTTTGCAAACTTTTCTGATATTCGTTATGGACTCGGAATGATTGTAAACACATACTTGCTGATTAGCCGTGCGATTTGTCATCATTAAAGCAGTAATAAAGGAGTGACAAATCGATAAAACGAACTTAATAGGTCCATGTTCAAGCATCCACTCGTAGTTTCAAGAGGAGCTGACGAAATAAGATCAATCTTTGGTTTTATTTGCTGTTATTTTTGCAGCAGAACTGAGTGCCATTAGAAGCGTGTAGGCATGCACTTTTTCCATTAGTTTCTCGTGCTGACTCTAGAGATTCGCATTTAATATGACTCAAAAATTTTATAATTTTATTTTATAAAAGAGATCTTTTGAAAACATTTTAGATTATAATGTCATAAATTTTTTTCATTAAAATTTAACATTTTCGTCACGTTCGATACAAAACATATATAAAATTATAAAATCAAAATTATATTAAACGTTAAAATTTTAAATGTAACTTTTATCAAATTTTAAAAATTATTCTTATGATATAACATTTAATTTTTATCTCGATTAATAATTACTTCAATATTATTTATAAAAATTTACACTTAATTTATAAAATATTATATATTTTAATCCAAAAATTTTATAATTTTATTTTATAAAAATATCTCATAAATTTAAATTTAAATTTATGTATTATATCATATTCTCGTAAAAAATTGAAGTGTCGCACTAACAGCCAACTTTCGGAACTTTTCAGCTCTTGCCTCCATGTGGTAATTTGTCTTGGTTGCTGGCATGTGGCTCTGAAACGAAGCCTCTGAAATTTATTGTTCCACTTTCTTGACACTTTACTGTCGAGCTACAGGGTTAAAATCAAATAGGCCAAAATTGCTTTCTTGGGCCACTAGTGAGTTGGGAACCTTGACAAATCGCAACCGTTTACAAAATTCTCTGAATCCTGGCAAATGTTATCATTGATCGTTGTCAAAATCAAATTGCTGTCAAGGTTTTGTTGGTGATGATTGAATAATTGTGATGTAACCAAATTTACTTAGTTAAAAAGCCACGTGTTTACGATGAAACAAATGTAGCAGTGCTAGTTCAGACTTCAGAATCTATTAAGAACAGCTCTTCAACAGTATCCAAATAAAATTAATCGGTGATTTATTGAGACAAAAGCTGTTAAAAAACGAAAGAAAAAAGACAATTTTCCTTGAGTACATGTAGAAATAACTAAGCCCATTTTGCCATTAGAGACATAAATCCAGCACCAAATAAAACAGCAATATATGACCAAGCCTGGAGCTTCATATTTGTTTGAAGCTTAGGGCCCATAAATTCAGCTGCCAGGAGATCTACCAGAGCCATGTAATTCAGCAACCCTGCTGAGCAAGCATTTAGTAGTCCTACCACAATAAGTGAAGTTGGGCTGGTCTCACTGTAAACCCTTGACAAACCAATTCCTACAACAATTCCTAGCGGAGTTGTGGTTGAAAAGAAGAATGCCATGGTTGCCTTCATTTTGAGCTTGTATTCAGCCTAACATAGAATAGAGCGTTCATCTATAATAGATAGACTAGAAGATTATAAAAATTGGTGTTTGAAAGAGAATAGAGTTGGATTACCTGTAGTATGGATCCCCCAAGTCCCATTCCCTCAAACATTTGATGGAAGCAAAGAGCAGCAATGAGTGATCGAATGGTGCACTTATTGTCAGAGGCCCCCATTCCAATGCCAATCACCACTGAATGTACTATAATTCCCAACTCTAATACCTACAGCAAAAATCAATAACTTTTTAGTTATAAGAATATCCTCCAACTGTTTAGGATTCAAACATATATACCTGAGCTATAACTCGATGCCTTAACAATTGTGATGATGTTTCATTCTTCTCGAGTGGATGGTGATGTCCATGTCCAAAATTCTCTATTTGTACATTCCCATTTTCCAGTCTCGCACCATCGCTGGCATCCACCACTGAAGCTTTAGCACAATGTTTCTTGTATATACTCATGGCAAACGAATCCACCATGAGAGTCATCACAGCCGACAGCATAGCCACGAAGGTTGTGAAAGGGAACTTCTTCCATGGGTTTTCAGGCAAACAGTCGGACGTTAAGTCATTGAAAGAATCCGGTAACACGTGCATGTATCCGGTCGCTAGGATAACACCAGAAGCAAATGCCTTAACCACAGTGAAATAGTCCCTGTCGGGTCTAAGTGCTGGCATTAGACGAGAAAAAAGTGGTAAACATACACCAATCATGCTAGCCACTAAAATTACGACAATGGCAATGACTTTTAGCTTCATAGATTCTGCCTTGTCATGGCATCCATTTTCGGATTCCGCTTCACATTTTGCCAATGCAAGTGGAGTGCAAGATAAAAAGATGATGATAACAGCAAGAAATGTTGAGAGTGCATGGAATTTCAGAAATGATGCCATGGCTGCAGCCAAGATTTACAGTAACGTTTAGGTTTGGTTCCTTGGGAATTTATTTTCATATTTGCTTAGCATCAATTATGAGGTGTGAGCTGGTTTTAACCTTATAGGGAATGGATACCTTTTTTGCCTGCTTTGATGATGTTATGTGTCAACTGTCCATAATATCCTTGCTTCCTCTTACAAAATTTGGGTTGAAACATTTGATTGCATGGTAAATTTAATGAGAAAATTGTGGTATTTGGGTAGCTTAGACTGGAATATAGAATACTTGTGCCGGTCGCGTCGTCTGTGTGACCCACCCCAGACTTCTAGACTTTTGACTTTTCTAATATCATTAGAGCACAGGTCAGGCGTCAGGATTTTGCTGATGTGGAAATATTTTATTTCATGTTATAGTAATCTCTATTTATTTTGTCTTTGAAATAAAAAAAAAAAAAAACTCCACGACATTCTTTTTACATTATTTTTTAGATAAACTAATTTTTAGCCGTGACGCACATGTAATTTTTATTTTTAAATATTTATTTTAATAAATAAAATTTTTGATACTATGATAATAATAATAAATATTAATAATTTAATTTTTATTTTGGTACAATATAAGTAAAATTTAATAACTTTTCGTATAATTTTAATAACTTTTTGATAAAATTTTAATAACATTGATTTAATTTTGGTAATTTTCAATATTAATTTGGTAACCTATTGATGTAATTTTAGTAATTAATGTTATAGTAACTCATGATATGCTTTTAGTAATAATTGATAAAATTTGTGTCATCATCTATTAATAATGAGTTCTCATAAGAAACCATGAATTTAATTTTAGTATAAGACAATTTTCTTTTATATAATTACATTATTGTTTCATTCAAATTTAGAAAATTTTCACTAAATTTTTTTATGAAATAAATTCGTGGTAGGTTTATTTTAATCTCCTAATATGAAATTTCTAAGTTTGTTTTTGCAAGTAACAAAAGCTCAATTCTTAATAACTTTAAGTATAAACAAAATTTATCAATAATTGACAATTAAGTTATTATTAATTTATTACCAAACTATCAATAATATATTTTTAAATTGTCAACGATTTATTACCAAATTAGCACTGATTTGTTATTAATTTATGAATGATTTACTACTAAATTATTGATTATTTACTATTAAGTTACAGATAATTTTTTATAATATTATAACTAATTTTCTGTTAATTTATCGATAATTTACTATAAAATTTTCAATGATTAACTAATTTATTACTAAATTATCACTGATCTATAATTAAATTATTAGTAATTTACTACTAAGTTATAAAAAATTTACATGTGAATTATCAATGATTTACTATTATATTATTATGCACTTATTATTATATTATCATTGAATTACTACTTAGTTTTCAATTATTTACTATAAAATCATCACAAATTTATTAATAAATTAACCATAATTCATTATTAAGTTATCACTAATTTATATTAAACTATCCATAATTTACTATTAAGTCATTTAATTATTAAGTTATTTATGATTAACTACTACTAAATTATATTGATTTACTTTTAAATTTTCAATGATTAAGTATTAAATTATCATTGATTTGCTACTAAATTATTTATGATTTACTACTAAATTTGTCAATTAATTACTACTAAATTAAAATTAATTTACTACTAAATTATCATTAATTTACTATTAAGTTATCATTGATTTATTATTAAGTTATTAATGATTAACTACTAATTTATTAATTGTTTTTCATTAACTTATCATTGATTTACTAATACACTGTTGTGCATTAATAACTATGAAACATGTAATTTAAAAAGTCAACTAATAATATATGAGATAATTTTTTTTTTATATAATATTGCTATTGTTTTATTCAAATTTAAAAATTTTCACTAACCTTCAAAATGAAAGTTTTGATTTCATTTTTGCTAGTAACTACGGTTCAATCATTGACAACTTCAAATATAAAAAGTTATCAATGATTAACAATTAAGTTATTAGTTATTTACTATTAAATTATCAATGATTTATTATTAAATTATCAATTATTTACTTCTAATTTATGAATGATTTACTAATTAAATTATGAATGATTTTTATTAAATTATTGGTGATTTATCACTAAGTTACTGATAATTATTATAAAGTTATAATTGATTTATTATTAATTTATTTATGATTCATTAAAAAGTTATCAATGATTAACTAGTTTACTACTAAATTATTTCAAATTTACAACTAAGTTATTAGTAATTTAACATTACATTATTAGCGATTTATTGCTTAGTTATTAATTTACTATTAAGTTATCAATGATTTACTATTATATTTTTTTATATATTTACTGTTATGCTATCATTGATTTACTACTTAATTTTTGATTATTTACTACAAAATTATAAACGATTTATCACTAAATTGTCTATGATTCACTACTAAATTATTAAAGATTTATATTAAATTATGCATGATTTATTATTAAGTTATCACTAATTAACTATTATATTATCGATGATTTACTACTTAATTTTTGATTATTTACTACAAAATTATAAACGATTTATCACTAAATTGTCTATGATTCACTACTAAATTATGCATGATTTATTATTAAGTTATCACTAATTAACTATTATATTATTGATGATTTATTACTAAGTTATACTAATTTACTTTTAATTTTTCAATAATTAACTACTAAACTATCAATTATTTACTACTAATTTGTCATTGATTTATTATTGTCAATAAATTACTATTAAAGTAAAAGTGAGTTACTATTAATTTTACTAATTTATTATTAAGTTATTATTAATTTATTATTAAATTATCAATAATTAACTACTAAGTTATCATTTATTTTTTATTAAGTTATCTTTGATTTAGTACTATGTTATTATACATTTACAATTATATTATAATTGATTTACCATTTAGGTATTATGTATATATAATTGTATTATTACTGATTTATTAAAAAAATATCAATTATTTACTATTAAGCAATTACTAATTTACTATTAAGTTATCAATGATTATTACTAAGTTATATTAATTACATTTAAATTTTTAATAATTAATTACTAAGTTATTAGTTATTTACTAATATATTATCCTTGATCTGTGTATATCCAAAAAGAAATTAACCATAATGTACGTTAGGTGATTTATTTTATAAGGTAAATAAAGAAAGAAGAAAAAATTCAAGTTTAAATGACTTAAAAAGCATGAGTAAATGTTTTAAATTTACTATCCCTTGTTTAATACATAATAATAAGTTAAAGTTATAACTTTTTATACTAATGCAAGATTCAATAAATATGTACAATATATTAAGTCAATATTTCTAGAATATTTTTCAAATTTTTTAGTTCATGGTAAAATAGTACATATTAAGATAAGTTTTATTGATGATTTAATTGAATTATTAGTATATGTATTTTTATCTCTACTAGCAAAGTGCAATTACATATAAAAATATTAAAAATTTTGAAGTGTTCTGTTACTAATGGAAGAAATAAACTTTACCTTATGTTTTTAAATAGAAGTAATAAACTTTATCTTATGTTTCTATTTTTAAGTCTACAATTTTGGATAAAAATTTTGTTATATATGATAAAGTAATAAGAATAAATTTACTAAATAAAATTTATAAAAATTAAACAAACATCACTTCTAAAAAATATTAAATTCATAATAATCACTTTCATGTTCTCCATAAAAAATTTCTTCTATTAAGCAAAAAGATAGTATTTTTTTAATTATTATTTCATTCTTATTACCATAATTCAAAATAACTTTTTTGATATTTTGATGCCAATTAACTTCTTCATTTGAAAAGAGTAAAGAATATTTCGTATTCTCTATAAAAAATTTCTTCTTCTAAATGAAAAAATGGTATATTTTTAATTCTTACTTCATTCTTATTACCATTATTGAAAATGACTTTTTTTTTTTTTTTATTTTTGATGCTAATCAACTTCTCCATCTATAAAGACTAAAAAATATTGTAAGAGGTCATAACAACTCCATAATATTTGACTCTATATTATCTTCATGAATAAATTTGAACTATGATATGATCTCTTTCAAATGAAAAGTTTGAATTATTCTCTCAACTTATATAGCAATAACTTGATAAATAAATAAATGATTATAAACTAATCAATTTAGATTAATATTTTTGTAATACAAATTTTAAATTTCTCAAAAAAAAAAAATCCTTTAATCCCTGCAAAACTTAGGCATAAATTTTCTTTTAAAATTATAATTAGTATCTTCATCACTTTTACACTTAAATTTTCAATGTATTATGTTTTCATTCTATTTTGAAATTTTTTTTATCAATGTTATAAAAGTATAGCTAAAATAACATGAATTAATCAACTTAAATTTGAAACAATTCAAAACTCAATTTGAGTATAAATAAATTTTTTACTCATTTTGAATTTTAATTTAATTAAAAATAATATAATACACATTATTACAAAAATGAACTAACTTGACTTGATTTCAATTTATTTTGAAAAGTCAACAACTTAGTTATTATTAAAAACTCAAAATGATTGAATATAACCAAAGTTTGAATTGAAATAGTAAACCAATCAAAATCCAATATTAGTTATTTATCTTCTATAACAATTTAAAAGTTTTTTATTTAAATATTTTCCCTTAATCTTTAGTATTTTATTTTTATTGTCTTTGTGGTTGAAATAGTTAATTAATTTTAAGAGTATTTCTAAAGTAAATTGTAATTATAAGTAATTGAGTATACTTCTATTTTATTTGAACTTTCTAAAGAGAAGTATGTACTAATTGTTGAATCAATTTACTTAAATGTACAAGTGAATAATTAAGTACACTATGAATTAAAGTAAATGATAAAACTTGACTCAATCTAATTGGTCGTTAATCCTAAATCTAAAATCTAACTCAAAATAATAAACAGTTAAAATTCGAATTGATTAAAATATTAAACATACAATTAAATAAAGATTTAACAAATAAATTTTGCTAATGATTACATTTAAATCACTTTTAAGTTAAGCTAAATTATAATTTATAATAATTTTTATTTTAGATGTAAAATGATAATTAATTTAATAAATTTCAATTCTTTTGAATAAATATTACCTAATATGGCAACCTTAAAAATTTTAATACAATAATAAATTTGTTTAATTGATATAAAAGAGAAAATGAATGACTATACAATATTTTTTCAAATAAAAAAGTTTCATATTAATTCTAAAAAAAATTGAAGTCAATACATTTGTATATTTTCATTGAAACATCATATAACATAACCTTCTTTATTATATGGAGAAGATAGAGTTATGTATAACCAATCAATTTTTCATCTTATTTTCTGCTTAGAATAATCTTTTATTGGTGCTTTTATCAATTGAATATAATTGTACGTCCTATCAATTGAAAATTTAATTTTTTATTTAAAATCTTTTATTATACATAAATTTTGATTAAATAAAAATATTAAAATACATAATTTAAAAAAAAATAAAATAGAATCCTAATCTTGACATTTGTCATATTTTCTTAAGAAAATTCAAATTCTGAGAATAACAAATTTATTATGTAATACCTATATTATTTATAATGATTTCATTTTCAGTATTAACAACATAATTTTCATGAATGAATTTAATTTTGACACAAACAAATTCAAAAGATAGATCTAATAAATTTTGTCACACCTTAAAAGAATTCACAAAAAACAATTAATTTTACTTCACTTGATAATTTTTTACTTATAATAATTCATATTAGGTTGTTATACAATTGAGAAAGATTAAATAATTTTAAGATATAAATTAATCATATATATGTATATTAAGATAAAAGTTGAAAGAAAATAAAATTAATTATTGTTTCAATCAAGGTGAACACTTGTCATAGCAGTTTGACAAGAACCAATCCTAAGTTACTGGTGCCTCTATTACCTTTTGAAGCATCTAATTTTATAGGTGAAAAGTCCAATTAAAATCTTTAATGAATCACATAATGCTAATTTTTGGTGGAGGGGTGCAATTAATTTACATTTGATTTTATATTAGTTTTTATTTATGAGAATAACAATTAAAAAATTATAGAGAAAAAATAAAAAAGAGAACTTAATTATAGAAGTTAGATTAAAACTATAAGAATGATATGTTAAAAAATTATTTAAAGGGACTAAAAAGATTTAATTATATTATTAATGATCAAATGATCAACTCATAAAACATATAAATAATAAAATTATTAATATATATATTGTTAATATATTAAAAAATTGAAAAGCAAAAAAATAGAAAAAAAAACAAATATGCTTCAATGACTTAATTATGATTATTTTTAATAAATTTATTTATCAATATAAACTACATATACAATTGTTTTTATAACAATTAAATAAACAAATTTCATATAATTATTTTTTTCTTATGCATACTAAACTTCAATCTCGTTCTATTTTATTTTCATTTAATGTGAAAAAGCATTCTACTTATAAAAAAGAGTCTAATAATAAGAAAAGTCATTTAAATTAAAGTTTATAAAAAAAATTACTAATGGTATTTTAATCACTGGTAACATTTTTTAAATTAAAATTTTATGAAGGGTATTTTAGTTAGTCATTTTTAACACTTTTTTAATCTAATTATAAAAAAAATTAATAATAAAAATTTATTTAAATTAAAATTTATAAAAATATTTACTAAAAATATTTTAGCCAATCACTTTTACATTTTTGAAATTAAAATTTTAGAATTTTAAGTAATTTAATTTTGCATAAACTCTATTTTTAGTTTTAGTTTATTTAAACTAAACTTAAATAAATTGATAAAAATTATATATTTAAGAATAAATTTATTAATTTAAAATTTATAAAGATATTTAGATCGATTAATGTTAATATTTTTGAAGATCATACTTTTATATATAGATGATATAGAAAGATAAAATTTTGTTGAATGGGTTGTATAGGAACCTACGGTTTGTTTTAACTCGAAAGTGATTTTATTCTACAAAAATGTCTTTGAAAATGATATGATTATTTATATCTTAAAATCAACTTTAATATATAATTGTTATGAAATTCATAGATTGAGGCAAAATTTTTGTATTAAAAAGAATTGTAGGTATCAATGGCTTAAATGGTAAAAAAAAAAAGGTGCTCTTTTTTGATTGGTTAAGTTTGAATATATTGAAAAATTGTAAGAAATTAATTTTTATGAATTCGTTATAAATATATATATATATATATATATATATATATATATATATATATATACACACTAAGGGAAGCTTAAAAATCCTTTACCATTCAATAAAAAATTATACATGAAATAATTTTTTTTATTTTCTTGTTGTAAAATATTACACTTGTTGGAAAATAAGATAACAAGCCTCCTATTATGAAACAAAAAAGAAAAAGAAACAAATTGAGCACTTCTAATTTAGAACATAAGATTAACTTTCTAACACAATGCCCCTAAAAAAATTAACCTGTAGCAAAACCATTGGTTGACAAAGCTCATGTGTTGAACACAAACTTAAAAAAAAAAAAAAAGAAAAAAAGATAGATTGAGTGCATGAAAGATTAATTCACTAAGCCCATTTTGCCATCAATGCCATAACTCCAGAACCAAGGAACACTGCAATATATGCCCAAGCCTGGAGCTTCATATTTGCTTGAAGCTTAGGCCCCATAAATTCAGCAGCTAAGAGTTCTACCATAGCCATATAATTCAGCAACCCTGCTGAGCAAGCATTTAGTATTCCTACCACAATGAGTTCAGTTGGGCTGGTCTCACTATATACACTTGACAAACCAATTCCTAGAACAATTCCAAATGGGGTTGTGGTTGCAAAGAAGAACGCCATGATTGCTTTTGTCTTCAGCCTATATTCGGCCTGAAAGAATATTGTTCATTAGTGCTAACATGTACTCTCAACAGTAAAAGATTAAAAAAAAAAAAGGGAAAAAAACTACATAGATTTAAACAGAACAATGAAAGGAGATTGAATCCTCACCTGCAGTATGCACCCTCCAAGTCCCATTCCCTCAAACAATTGATGGAAGCAAATGGCAGCAACTAATGGTCTTATGGTGCATGGATTGTCAGAAGTTCCCATTGCAAGACCAATAACCACTGAATGAACAATAATGCCCAACTCTAACACCTGCATTTAGAAAATATATATGGTGACTGCTTGCATGATGATGTAAAGAATATAAAGATAACTCCATAGACCAAATTAATTCTAGATCAGATACATTGATGTACTAATTAATGCCATATAAATGGATTGATAATAAGATTGCAAAAGCAATTTTTTAGTACAAAGTAGGTCGCCCAAACGAGGAAATGCAAGTGCTAAAACTAGAATCTCAGCTTTGCGAGAAATCCTTCTCCTAAGAGAGGTGGGTGAACCATTCGGGCTATTTACTTCTAATAAAATTAAAAAACTCACCAACAAGCTTCTATAAATGCAGTGAACCTAAATTCTCATTAACTATTGCAAGTCCATGAAAATTAATCACTGCTAACTTTCCTTTTAGATGATAGAATTTGGGTGCTCTTCATTTTTACTCTCAACCTGAAGATTCAAGAACATACGTACCTGAGCAATAACACGATGCCTTAACACTTGTGATTCTTTGTCGTCCTGGCCATCGTTACTTATTATCTTCTCAGTTGCATGTCCATGTCCATGTCCGAAATTCTCTATTTGGGTATTCCCGTTTTCCAGCATCTCATCATTACCCGTCACTAGAGCTTTAGCAGAACGTTTCTTATACATACCATTGGCAAACGAGTCCACAATGAGTGCCACTAAAGCCGATAGCATTGCCACAAAAGTCGTGAAAGGGAACTTCCTCCATGGATCTTCAGGCAAACAATCGGATGTCAAGTCATTGAAAGCGTCCGGTAACACGTGCATGTACCCAGTTGCTAGAATAACACCGGAAGAAAATGCCTTCACCACCAAGAACAAATCCTTGTCGGGTCTAAGTGCTGGCACCAGACGAGAAAACAATGGTGAGCACACACCAATCATGCTAGCCACCAGAATTGAAACAATTGCAATGATCTTTAGCTTCTTAGCCTCTGCTTTGTCATGGCATCCGTGCATTGATTCTGCTTCGCATTGCGCAAATGCGAGTGGGGTACTGGTCAAAAGGATGAGAACAACAATGGGAAATGATAGTGCATGGAATTTTGACAATGAGGCCATGGCTGCAGAGACAGACTCACACAAATGTATGATAGCTTCCCGGTTTGCTTTTTAAGTATAAAACATGAACGTCTTTGAAGGATGCAGGCATGTAACAACTTTACGAGTTAGATTTTTATCAAACTGAGAAAATTTTATCCTAAAAATTTTGATTTGAAAATTTCTAAACTGCTGATGTAATTTTTTTATATGTCTACAATGCCCTCAATTATGTCTTCCAAAAGAGAAAAAAGATGTATAAGCTACATGGTAATTTTGATAAAAAAGTTGGGGTATTGTGACAATTGAAACTAGGGACAAAGAAAACCTTGTGCCATGCATATGTTAAGTGTGGCCCACCACAGACTTTGACTTCTCCTGTAACACCAGCACACGTCAGACACTTGTCTTTTGCTGACATGGAATTTTTTTAATTTTAAATATCTCATTTACAGATAGCAACGGATTGAGTTGGATGGATTTTTGTTGGCTCAGATTTGATTTTCTATAATAAATACTCAAATATGATCTAATTTGATATTAAAATATTATTTTTTATATTTAACTCAATTTGACTTTCATATGTATAAAATTGTAATTGATTTAAAATTAATAAAATATTATTTTTAATATAAATATAAAATTAAATAAATACAAAATATATAAATATAAAATTAAATAAATAATAAGAATCTTATATATATATGTATCGGGATTAGGACTAGAGATGTAAATGATATATTAATACTTGTAAACTATTCAGGTTCAATTCAAATAAAACTCGAATTCGACTTGATTATTATCGCGTCGAGCTCAAGTTCGAATAGTTCAACTTATCGATAAAGCCAAATTTGAACAATTTTATATTGACTCGATTAGCTTATAAGTCTAATCGAGCTTTTATATTTAAATATATTTTTATTATTTTAATTAATAAAATATCTCGCATATGAGGTCAAGCTTGAGCACAAATAATCGATTTTTATCGAATATAAAAATCGAGCTTATTTTTATCTATTAATTAAACATAATCAAGCGAGCTCGAGTAGTTGATTTCTATATCGAGTCGAGCTTGAACTCGAGCTAAAAAAATAAAATTCGATTGAGTTTGAGCTGAGTTTTGAGTATCAAATTTCGAATCAAGTTCGAACTCAAACTTAATACTGTATCGATTCGAACTCGATCGATTACACCCTTAATTGGAACATGTTTGCTTAAAACTCAACAAACTCGTCCCAATTTGAACCCAACTTATAAAAAGAAAAAAAAGAAAACCCAACTCAATCCAAAATTCAATTTAAAAAAATTATCTTATAAGATTGCGTTGAAATTCGACAAAGTCGAATTAAATTACCAACCCTAATGTTATTCAACAATAATTCTCTTGATAAATTAGAGATATATAAATTTATAACCCTTGAAAAATATGCATTCTTTTCCGAAGGTGATGAAAACCAGTGAAATTCATGTTAAATGGGATGAAATAATTTTCAAGTTTGTTGAAAATGTTTGTTAAAGCTTTGGCCGCGAGGAAACTGGCTATTACTATGTAATAAAACTGCAATTACATGAAAAGAACATAGAACTTTCATCCATTCCATGTCCAGCTTGAATTGGGCTGCAATTACATGGAATTTTTTTTATGGTGGTGAAGTGCAAAAGTTAAGCTGCAAATAGAATTTTCTTTTATGAATAAACAGAAAATTTTTCTGTTCAATTTAAGTTTTAGATATGTTAGATGTTACTTTTTTAAAGATAAGCGCATGAATTTTATAATTGAATTATGGATGTCACTTCTTAAATTATGAATTCATTTTATTAAGTCTTTGCCACTTTATAATTGATTTTTATATATTTCAAGATATTTCAGGTCAATGATTGAAAATATAAACTTCGCTTTGTAATTGAAAGAAAATGCTTATGGAATTGAGCACAATAATCTCTATTACATTTGTTATTATTGACTCGTTATTTCTTTTCCAACATATAAAAGTGGTGAAGGACCTCATTTCTGAAGATTAATTGATGAAACAATTTTTTCAAGCACTAGCTACACTCACAGAAACAAGTGCCATTGATATAGTTCTTGATTTTGCAATCTAGTGGGCAAACTTTGGCACAGTCGGCATCGCGTTTGCAATTAATATCATCAATAAGTAGGATGATTTTTAAGATCTATACCTAACTTGCTAGATATTATTCACTTTGACTCAAAAATCTCATGATTTTACCTCATAAAAAATACTTCTTAAGTTTTAATTTAAATTTCAGCGCGCACACACACACACACACATATATATATATATATATCATAGTGAAATTTCAAATTATTTTGATGTGAGATTAAGGCATTATAAACTCGCTCATTAAAACTTGACATCCTCGTCAAGTTTAACACATATCAAATGTTGGGCAAACTCAATACAAAACACATATAGATCATAAGATCACATTAGACGTTGAAATCTTAGAGGTAACTCCTATCGTGTAGCATTTAGCTCTCGCAAAATTTTAGAGATGACTCTGATGACGTAGAACTTAGTTTACATCCGACTGATGATTATTCTGATATTTATTTGTGGAGACTCGCACCTAACTTATGAGATTTTATCTGCTTTAACATAAAGATCTTGCTGTTTTATCCTACAATAAGCTTCTCTCAAGTTTGGGTTTAAATTCTCTAACATATATATTATAGTAGAACTTCATATCATCTTGATATAAGATTATGACATTACAATGTTAGAGGCTTGCTCTTGCGTGCACAAGCAACTGCATTTCCCAGATTTAGAGTCACAAAAGCCTTCATGTTTACACTTGAATGCACGATCTGTATCACAGCAATATTCTGTGCCCTCAAATTGTGCTACTGAGTTTGATACACCTAAAAATCAAATCACAAAATTTCATCATTTAAATATTTCATTAAACCGATTTTTCTCAATGCTGATAGATGATAATTGAAATGTTTCTCTATCCTCAAACACCAACTTTCTTTGTATAAAAAAAATGTTAAAAGAGAGAAATACATTTTATACTACTAACAAGAAACTACAAGCAAAATGACAAGAAGAGAAATTATGCCTTTATGCCGAATGAAGCCTTCGTCATTTTTTCCTAGATAGTCTTGAAAAGCTAATGAGGGACGAAAATAATTAGATTAATACTCTGCATTTTGTGCTGTAGATGAGGATGAGCTGATATTATACAAAGTGTGGCATGTATTGGGGTTTTTATAGCAGAATTTCTAGTCCCTGTAACCTTTGTAACCTAATTGCATTTAAGTTATAAACTAGATGGTGGGTGATATCCTTGCCAATTGTGTTGCAAAAGAAAATCCTCACAATTATGGTAATAGAACAAGAGCACAATAGACCACCATATATGGACGAAACAGTCTCAAACTGCCAGGATTTTGCCTTTTAGACATGTTGGTTTGACAGTAAAATCATTCTTGTTCTGCTACTTCTCCAAGGACTTAGAGCAAAACCTCGATATCTGATCATCATGGAAGATAAATGCAGCAGGGTGGCAGTATCTTTGCTGCCAAATGCCGAAGGAAGATCGATTTGCTTCTATTATTTCTTCTCCGTAAATGAAGGGTCTTTTAACATGTTTCGCTTCCCTTTGGCACAAACAAATAATGGAAGCAAATGGGTTTTGAAAGGCAGCATTTAGCAAACATAGTTTAAACAGGATCTCCCCTAGACACTTCCCAAATGAGTAAACCCAAAGCTGAAGGCATTCAAGCTATGGAATAACACCCACAAAGCTTTGCCATTCTAGGGTTCTTGGGAATCATCAATGCACAAAATGCACCTGAGAAAGCAAAAATGATGCAAATTGTGAATGCCTGAAAGGTAGCTGAGTAAGACAATGCTTGGTACATGGTGAGGGTAAAATGTATGACTTGTTGATATCATTGAGAGATAATCAAAGAAATGGCACAAGAAATAAAATAGAAAATTGCAAAGAAATTATGGATTTGTGGTGCAATTTATATTGATTGAAGATAGGAAGTCCATGTAAATGAGGCTATCGGTTTCTATGAAATTTATCAAATTGAATGAGAAATAAATTTTATAAAGCTAAAATGTTGTCTATATGCAAAACATATTCCTTTATTTTTTATTGGTTGATATCTTTTATGAAACTTCTGGGAAATGAGTTAGAAAACAACAGGGAAACAACCGAGGAAATAAACCAAAAAGTAAAGGATTAATAAAGAGGAATTAACTAGTCTTTTAGCTTTTTGACCCACCGAAAGTGCATCCTTCTTTCCCTTTCTTTTCTTCTTCTTTTGGGACATAACTATTCATTTCCACTTGGTCAAGAAGCAGTTTCCTCCAAACTTCTAAAGAAATATCAAAAAGCAGTAAACCATTCTATAAATGAGAAACAAAGAAAAAATTTTAAAACTGCAAGAGAGCACTAAGAATTAACACTGGTGATCTCTTTTCTTTTCCTTGTATAGAAAAAAAACACACACACACACACACACACACACACACAAAATAACAACTGTTCTGTCTTGGTTTGATCATGCGACCAACAGATCTACCTTTTTCCATTCTATCCATAATCAGACAGGTATTTCATCACATTGGTATAATCCTACCCCAAATTAGGCCTTGTTCTGAGTCTAATTCTCTTATTTTACCAATTACTACATCGCCAGCTCAACCAAGTTCTAATTCCATTACCAGAATGAGGTTTTGCTCTGCTTCTCATTGGAGATCCCAACAATTGCTTTACTTCAATTCTTTTGAAATTGAAATACAAAGCTACCAACCAAGGAGGCCTTCAGTAAGTCTTGGTAGGACAATTATGAGTTTAACATTCCAGGTAGTTGTTGCCTTGGCTCTGTCATCTTCCATGGGGCAAGGAGGTGATCATCATCTTCTCCTTCTTGACATTGTCAAAATTTCTATGATCATAGCTTTTGCAGCTTCTTTTAGTGGAATCTTCCTAAGAGGTTCTTACCCAAGGACTGCAAGTATTATTGAGACTATTGGATCTCT